ATAAAAGAATATTTTGAGAGAAGCACACAAGAACATGTGGTTCGTTTGTCTTTCCACCACAATATGCCAGAAAAAAAAAGAGTACGATATGCCAACCGCCAACGTATATATAATGCACTTTAAAAGCATAGTCTAATTCTGCATTTCGGGTTGCATGTACGTGGCGATGGTTTGTTGGTTTCTGACACTCGTTTTATCCTTTCTGTCCCAACCGCAAGGTCAACATTTCAATCATATATAGTACTGCATATACGTATATTGGTCTCTGTTGTAATAACTCTCGTCATTACGTGGCACTGATCTGACATTTCTTAACACAATGTCACCGGTAGTTCAGTACTACACACTGGTGCCACCTTGATGATTGGATTATATATTTATATTGGTTAGGCTTCGTGTCGAGATCGATGCTATAGAGGAATAAAGATATTGATGTGGACATTAGCCATAGAATCAAAGCAGGGTGAATCAAGTAACGACAAGCTTCTGGTATTCTCTGTGATAAGAGGGTACCACAAAAGCTAAAAAGCAAGTTCTATATAACGACGATTAAACCGGCTATGTTGTATGGAGCGGAATGTTGGCTTACAAAGATTCGACATATTCAACAACTGAGTGTTGCAGAAATGCGTATGCTGCGATGAATTTGCGGTCACACAAGAATGTACCGAGTTCGGAGCGATGATATATGTGATCACCTAAAGGTAGCACAAATTAAAGAAAAACTTATTCAACATCGGTTGAGGTGGTTTGGTTATGTCCAAAGAAGACCTCCAGAGGCACTAGTGCATTGTAGAGTCCTAAGCCAAGCTAATAATATGAGGAGAGGTAGAGGAAGACCGAAATTGACATGGGAGAGACAATAAAAAGAAATTTGAAAGCTTGTGATATACCTAGATATCTATGTTTGAATAGGAGTACTTGGAAAGCAGCTATTGAAGTGCCTAAACCGTAACTTGGGGATTTTAGTGGGTTTCAACTTTAGCCTGCCCCAACTTACTTGGGACTGAAAGGCTATGTTTTTGTTATTGTTGTTGTTGTTGGTTAGGCTTCGTGTATATATTATCATATATTATTGCTTTTTTTAAGGCATGATTTCCTGCTTGACTTTGGTGCACAAGTAGAACACTTAAGACATAAGGTAACTGTGCCACCTACTCCCTCCGTTCCTGAATATAATAAGGCATGCACGTATTTTAAGTTCAAACTTTATTATCTTTGACTAACAATTAGTCTAATTATATCAAAAAATTGTATTACAAAAGTAGTTACATTAGTTTTATATTTATAAATATTTTCTAATGACCAAACTTTTATTCCTATAAGTTATATATTATAATAAAACTTATAGATCAAAATATGTTCTTGGCTAGTAGTTGGTGGCCGGCATAGAGAGCCTCTCCCTGTCAGTTTTTTTTCTTATCTTTGTTTTCGGAGAACAAATGCCTTATTTAGTTATTCTTCTTAAAATTTAGTCTCTATCTCATCAGATGTTTAGACACATGCATAGAGTATTCAATATAGATTAAAAAAATAACTAATTGTATAGATTACGACTAATTTGCGAGATGAAATTTTTAAGCCAAATTAGTCCATGATTTTACAACGTGGTGCTACAGTAAAGCTACGGTAAACATGTGCTAAAAATGGATTAATTAGACTCTGGCCCGACCCTGGGGCGGGGCGAGCAGGGCGGCCGCTCCAGGCCTTCGATGCCAAAGGGCCTCAGCAGCCGTGTGTTGGACGTAGTAGAGCTTTGAGCAGCAGCTAACCAACCAGTAGAACGCCGACGCTTTGCTCAAAAAAAGTAGAACGTGCGCCGGTGCAGTCTTGGAATCTTGCACGCTCGCACATCCTCCTCTCCAGATTTCTAAATCCAACGGCCATCTTGAATCACTAATTCCTCCTGTTGTGCTAAATGGATGATCAACTTTGCATAAATAATGAATGTTAAAGTTCAAGTGTTTATTATTAGATCGGTGATAATTTTACGTAAATAAATATTAAAAGGAATTTTAAGGTGATTTAATATATACTCTCTCAGTTGCAATGTAAACTGTACTTCCTTCGTCCTAAAATAAAAAAAACTCGACCCACGGTGGTAAGACAGCCCCCACGCATTGTGCTTTAAAAAAAGTCCTTCTCACGCAGGTCGAGAAAAACCCTGAACCTCTGTCCCACCCATATACAGCGGCACCGTAGCTCCCATGAGACTGGGCTGGCATTAGACTTGTGCTTTGGCGTGGGGTAGACGAGGGGATTTTTTTTTTCAACGCGCAAATAAATTGCGTCTCCTCCGGCCAACAAATCCGCCCCCGAGGGGGTTCGAACTCTGACCGGCAGGGTGCAAAGCGCACAGTCAGACCAACTGGTCTAGCGTTCGCTTGCCTATGTCTCAAATTATAAAATGTTTTCTAAACATACCATATATCTAGGTGCGTAGCAAAGGATATGAATCTAAAACAAAAATTTCTTGTAATTTGAAATAGAAGCAATAAATCGTTTTACTTTTGTCCTAAATTAAACATGTCTATTTATATGCAACATCAAACAAGATTTCTGAATGATACTAAGTACAAATAAATTATTTCATAAAATATTGCTTATATATTTCAAGTGTTTATTTGTAACATTTAATATATAATCATATAGTATTATTTATTATTAAGATGGCTGTATTAGGGGGCCCTGGTTGCGTGTGCCGCTCCAGGCCCTATAAAACACAGGACCGGCACTGATTATGCTTAATAAATTCGTCTCGCGAATTACTGAGGACTTGTGTAATTTGTTTTATTATTACTATCCAAACACTCCCATGTGACACCCCAATATAATACCCGATGTGACACCCCTAAACTTTAGCCCCTTGATTTGAACACCACCAAAATAATGGTGTCCTGTCTCCTAGCGGGCCAACAAGAAGAGCACTTTTGTGTGTGTGTGTGTGTGTGGGGGGGTATTTATCTAGGAGTATTTTTAAAAAAGTTAAATTTGTGGAGCATGCATCTTGGTCAGTATACAAAATATATGGTAAATTTGTAACATAATGGAGATGTGAAAGATCAATTTACTGTACACGACGAAGGAGGTATGGGAGCAGTTTGCAAAAGGTATCAGTCGTGAGAGCTGCGTATGTGTGTATGTTCAGGAAGCAGAGGAACCCAGTTTGACACGCTTGCGGCCCGGCCCAAAATACTTCAGGCCTTGTTTGCCTAAGCCATAGTATACCTCTGGCCCGTTCATTTAGGTGGACCTAAACAATTTTATACTCTTATAAAACAAAACCCCACTAAACCATGTCATCTACTTCCTTCGAGCCGCGCATGTTCTCCTGCACACTGAAGAATGCGAATTAATTTTCCAAATGTTGAGCAAGTCACGTCGGTTTCCTAGCCACATTCATTGTTCTCCCCTCCGTCTTCCTTCACACGCCTTTTACCTGAGCACCCAAGGAAATGGCCGCATGCAGCAGATACGAACAAGCACCCACCTTGGCCCCATTGATTGTTGCCAAAACAGCAGTCAGTACTCAGAAGTTAAGAGTCCTTTTAATGGCGTTGTTGCCCTTCCAATTCCTCTCCAACATTCCCAGCATATATATATACAAATCGATCGTATGCCTCACCCGGCCGTTCCCCCTGCTGCTGTTGTTGCGATGGTGGGTTCTACTTACACCTGCTGCTCTTGGTTAGTCATCAAGCTGCCGCCTCTAGAGGTTCTTTTTGAGAGGTCTCCAGCGTAAGAATTGCCATCGGGCCTCCACAATTTCTCATCTTCTCCAACGGCCGCCACAAAGACAGCATTGGGCCATCCTAAGGAGCATCCAGAAGGTACGTAAACCGGCACACCTGGACGTAAAACGATTCCGTTTTACTCCTCATCGAAAAACGACGGATCGGAGTCCAATATTCGAATTCGCTGCCTCCGATGCCCCTGTCTCATTGTCGTCCGTCCATTTGTTTTCCATGTTTTTTTTAAGAAGAGCTGCCGTCCATTTTCCTTTCAGCATTTCATTTTTATCTGGGAATTTTCAGCATTTCGTTTTTTTATTGTCTGCTTAGACGCGACGCAGTAGATCGAATTGCTAAGATTCTCGGCCTACCTCGGGACACCGCTGCTTCCAACGATCGCTTACTCCTCCAAAAATTTAGTCACTGTCATATTGAAGGTTTGAAATTAATTTGGAGTATTAAACATAGACTAATTATAAAATTAATTGCATAGATAGAGACTAACTTGCGAGACGAATCTATTAAGCCTAATTAGCCCATGATTTGACAATATGGTGCTACAGTAAACATGTGCTAATGATGGATTGCTTATGCTTAATAAATTTGTCTCTCAAATTAGTCTCCATCTGTGCAATTAGTTTTATAATTAGTTCATATTTAGTCATCCTCGTTAGCATCCGAATATCCAATGTGACAGGGAATAAACTTTAGTCTCTGGATCCAAACACCTTACTCTCTCTATCACAAAAAAATACAATTCTATGTAGATTTAATATAAGAAAATATTTCATAATCAATATAATGATACTGAATCATAAATATTTGTAATCTTTTGTATAGATTTTATCAAACCTGAAATTGTTTGGCTCCTAGAGAAATGAGAATTACATTGTTTTTGAGAGAAATGGAGTACAATATAATAATGGCTGCAAGATTCTTCTTCCCAAAACGACTAGAAACGGAATCGCTTTTTCCATCGGCTAGTTTCGCATGGCATCGTCCTTCCTGATGCCCTGCCCATGCACGCACCCATCCACTACTCCACCGATGCGATGGATGCACCACCACCTTGCGCAGCGTGAGGCTCACGCCACATGCACCACAAGTGGGGCCGCCGGGAGCATCCGGCAGTGGCGGTGCAGTGCCCTATAAATCCGCCGGCCCGGCCGTCGCCATGCATTGTCTGTGTCAGAGCCTCATCAGGGCAAGAAGAGAACACCAGCCACCAGAGAGGAGGTGAGGTGAGTTTGCAACTTGCAAGTCGGCGTCATGGCATACTACGGCCGTGACCAGCGCTACGGCGGGTACGGCGGCGGCATCGCGACGCCGGGGTACGCTCCTCCGGTGCCGTACGGGATGTCGCAGGTGAACATCGAGGGCAACGGGTGCGGGCGGCCGCTGCCGCCGCAGCCGACCGTGAAGGTGTACTGCCGCGCCAACCCCAACTACGCCATGACTATCCGCGACGGCAGGGTGGTGCTGGCGCCGGCGAACCCCAAGGACGAGTACCAGCACTGGATCAAGGACATGCGGTGGAGCACGAGCATCAAGGACGAGGAGGGTTACCCGGCGTTCGCGCTGGTGAACAAGGCGACCGGGGAGGCCATCAAGCACTCGCTGGGGCAGTCCCACCCGGTGCGCCTGGTGCCCTACAACCCGGACTTCCAGGACGAGTCCGTGCTCTGGACCGAGAGCCGCGACGTCGGCAATGGCTTCCGATGCATCCGCATGGTCAACAACATCTACCTCAACTTCGACGCCCTCCACGGCGACAAGTGGCACGGCGGCGTCCGTGACGGCACCGACGTCGTGCTCTGGAAGTGGTGCGAGGGCGACAACCAGCGCTGGAAGATCCAACCCTACTACTGAACGAACTGATCGATGATCATCCATCGTCGCGTCGCGTCCATCCATCGTGCACATACTCGATCATGCATGGAGACGTGCATGCACTTATACCAGTACTGGCCTATGTATGTATCTATCTATGCATGTACGCATACATATACGTACTAGCAGAATAACTGAGCCTCGTATCGTGTGCCGTCTTTCTGCATGCATGTCAGCATGTGGTGCGTAGATAAAGCAGGAGCGAGGCAAAGGGCTACTCATGTCTCATGGTCATGTATACGTTGCAGCTGTATGTATGTATGTACGGAGTACCTTGTAATAATAAAGTTGCGATACATATACTTATGGGAGTACATACATAATAAAGTTGCTCGAGTGTATTAATAATTAGAATATACGTATATCCCTATTTTTATTATGATTAATTGATTGTTAGTTTTTTAGGGGAGTTAATTGATTGTTAGTTAACTCGGATGCGCCGGGATTTAGTTTAACTAGGTGAATTCCCCGCGCGTTGCTGCGGGGATTATATAGACAACATTAAGAATATTGGAGAAAGAAAATATGAGAAATCAAGAAACATATTACAAAGACTGTGAAAAGGCCTTTTGTGGTATTCATTCACATGAAGGGATGGTGTTTATCTCTTGAACAAAGGAGAGTGAATATTGGCTACGACAGAGCAATGACCAGTTTTGTGCTCTCCAAATCACGACATAACTCTTCAGAAAAGAAAATATGAATGCATACAGCATTTTAGATAATCAATGCATATAACTTAGAGCATCTCCAAGAGTTCCCTAAATCACCTCCTAATACTTGGTTTTTAGAAAGATAAGAAAAAACATCTCTCCAACAACTTCTAATGCTTCCTCCTAAAATTTTAGCAACCGGGAAAAACCGAGCAGTCCGCGGAAAGTTACGCGCTCTTCTGGCTGCGCGTATCCTTCTCCCCGCGTCAATTTTTCTTGGCGCCGTGGTCGTAGCTAGCGATGAGGTACGTACGGCATCATCGATCTGGTTTGCTGTCATATTCCTGGGCCATCTCGATCTGGTCGTGTGCTTGCTGCGCTGCCGCCGCCGCTATGGCTTCGTGCCGGCCGCTGCCGCTGCTTGGTTTCCCATGGCCGCCGCCACTAGGTTTTCCATGGCCGCCACCACTAGAACTGCCTTGGCCGTCTCTGGCCGTAGCCGAGCTTGGTCCGCGCCTGCGCCTGGACTTCGCCATCTCGGTGACGAGCTCCAACTCCACGGTCTGTACCACGCCGGCGATGTCTTGGCCTCCATCTCTGTGCTACGCCATGGCCGGCTGCTGCCTCTGTGTGGATTCCTGCTGCCTGCCTGCCTGCTGGTTGCCGGTTCCTGCTGCCTTCCTACCTGCATGCTCCTGTGCTCTGCTGTTGGCCGCTGCATGGTACTGTGCTCTGTTGATGGCTGCTGATGGTACTGAACTGCTACTGGCTGGCTGCTTGTGAGATTGTATGTAGCTTGCATATATGTTCCTATATACCGGTTCCATGGTACTTTGAGAAAAGAAGTGAAATGCGTGCGTGCATGGGATTTAAATTTAATGGCGAGCGCGGCCGGCCAGCATTGATGCCGTGTCGTGCACCACATGCGTATGTACCCTGCGTGGAGCCACAGATGGACAACATCAGCTGCCGGAACCACTAGATCTGGCTATTGAGGGGCCACGGCCGGCTGGGAGGAGGCCAACGCCGGCTGGGAGGTGCAAGGCTAGGGCAACACGAAGGAAAGGAGGCGGCGGTGGCGTACCGTATGCACGAGCACGAAGGGTTTCGCGTGTAAAAAAAGGACCGCAAAAAAACCCAAAACGGACCTTTTTTAGAAGTGAAGTATTATGAACTATTGGAGATGGCATTCTTTTTTTCTTCTAACACATTTTTAGGAGTTGGAAAACATAGAGTTTTTAGAAGGAATATTTAGGGAACACTTGGAGATGCTCTAATTCCTTGTGCTTATCATGTTAATTTGACTATTTGCAAAGTTGCATTTCTACAATAATTTGTGTTGCTCGGACAGGTGAACGAAGGGGGGGAAAAAGAAAGGGCCGGAACGCACAGGGCGGCAGGGCCTCCCTCGGTCCCACAATGTTTGTTGTTTTGACACAGCATTTAAGTGTCCGGGTTCACAGGGTAGTCCATGCATCCGGACACAATGACGCCCAGGTTCAAACAACGTTTGATGTACCTCGTTCAAGGCTACAACTACTAATATATCGGGACAGAGGGAGAAGGCCCTCTGGGGTTTAATTCGCCCCACTGCACGAAATTTAATTTGGCCCAGTATGAAAGCCTAGTTTCCACCTCACGATTATTTGCTGAAACATAAAGTCTTGTCGCTCATGCATGGATGATGGCTGAAGTCAATCCTCTGGCGAGAGTAGAAGAGACAGGAGAGTAGAGTGAGTCTGGTTCTCTTCCCTACCACCTCTACCTCTCAAATGAACATATATAGCAGTTTCTCTCTTATTAATGGGCAATTTAAAAAATCTATACTTAAATTAGTTTTTGTACTCCCTTCTAAATTATAAATCGTTTTGACTTTTTTTGGTATATCCGTGTACCAAAAAAAAATCAAAGCGGCTTACAATTTAGAACAGAGAGAGTATATATTAATAATAGAAATAAAAGTAGGTAATTCAGAAGCATATATATAGAAACAATTTATGGTTATTTAAATATTCTTCTTATTAATTTATATTTAAGGGGTTTAGGTGCAAATAATCACATAAGTGGTAATTTAGGTGCAAAATTAAAGGATTGCATAGGTGCCATTTGGATGGAATAAAAATTCTTAGATTCTATCATCCCATACTATCCAAGTTTCTTAGGATTATGGGACTACAAGAATATTTATGTTAAAATGCTCTAAAATCTACCCTCTCTGTTTAATTATAAGTAGTTTTATTTTTTCTAGATTAATAAAATCTATGTATCTAGACATATGTATATAGACGCATAGCAAAAACTATTGTATCTAGAAAAGCCAAAACAACTTTCAATTTGGGATGGAGTGAGTAGCACCTTTTTTTATGGGATTCTTTTATCATGTGGGAGCAAGTGCAACATTTTGTTCTATTTGGTTGAGTATGAATGGTCAGTTTTTTTATAAAATGGGACTAAATTCTTATTTGCAGGTTATTTTCAGGATTTGACTCGCTTTTGGACCATCCCCCAAACGAAATGTGGCATGCCAAGTTTCAAGTGGACATGCCATATGCTGAAGAATGCAGCAATGGAGATCTTCACCTCGCGGATGGATGTCGTCTAAACTGTCGTCCTATTTCAAATTGTTTTTTGAGAGCTTGTTTTAAACAATCAGAGACTCGGACTGTGATGATTAATAATAATTTCATTTTCTCAAAAAAAAAGTCTAACTTCCCCACGAAGCATGAAGCTTTTGATGAGACAAACCGAATCGGGTTCAGTTCAGGCCTTCAGGTGAAGTGAAGGAACCTTGCCCGATATGAAAGCCCAGCTTTATATATATAATAATACTAGGTAGTATGTTCGTGCGTTACTACGAGATAGCTAATATTCTGTACTTAAAAATACACGAATCGTATGATAAGATAACAATACTGTAAAAATTGAATATCAATGTTAAAGTGATTTAATCTAAAAAGCAAAGTTTGTGAAATTAACATAGTCACGAAGAGCACGGCGTCACAAGTTCACAAACTCTACTTTATAGACATTGTTCTTAAAATGTAAATCTAACATGTACGGATGATTTTCCAATTGGCATGTAGTGTGTATACAACATCTCCATGTAGAATCTGATAAACCATTTAAAAATACCTAGAAACAACAACAAATATGGCGTTAGTGAAATAATATTTGTACAATATAAATTGAATGAAAAATGCATTGTATGCGTTAGTAATGTTTTATTACCTTACCTATGGTGTTAGAACCTCCTTAAATACAATATTCTTCGTCAAAGTTCCATCCACTGGATCTTCTTATCCTTATCTTTTTTATTTGATGCATTCTTATTTTTTTCCCTCGACATTCTTTTTAGAATTTTTCTTCTCTATCTTTTTGGTCTCCTCCTCCTGTGCACCCGCATCAGGTGGGAGGGCAAGAATCCTCATATTCGTTCTTGACATGGCTCTAGACATCGCAACGTTCAACTGATCGTGAGAGAACACCGGTGCGGGCAGGTACACACCCACGTTCGAGATAGTTTGGCCCCACGACTTGTTGACCGTCATGGCAAAGCTTAGCCTGATAGGAAACTCTCCTCTTAAACTATAATAGGAATATCTCGTCATCAGGCGGGTATAGCGGTATTCGAGAAAGGAATACCCGCTTCCTAGCATGCTGCCCACCATGATTTCCGCGTCAATTGTATTTATTCTGAACCCCCGCACCACTAGTCTTGTACCGTTGCATAACCCATTGGCAGGGTCAATATTCCTAAGCAATATGACAGGACACCCGAGCTTGAGCTTCAAAACGTGTGGAGGCAACCGTTGGGGGTCAGACTGTTAATGAACTCTGATGGATAGTAGTTATGTGGATCATCTTCCGCAGAGTCAAAACTATGATACACCGTCTCGCCGCCCTGGAATATATCAATCATGTTTATATTAATCATGTCCACCCAATCGTTCTGTGTAGATAAAATTGCTCTGGTGGTGATGTAATCTTTGTCCGCCATGTTTGCATTTAGATCTGGAAAGAAGGTGCCGATCAATCTATGAAGATCTTTCTCGACATCGCCAGAGCACGTGACACAAATCTCGTCTGGAATACGTGCATCGCCATCTCCGTTAACCTCTTCCGTTCCACCACCAATGCGCAACAGATAATCTGCAAACCACAGGTCACTTTGAGCCCTCATGTTGCGGACGAGCTTTAGGTGGCGCATGGATTCCCAAAGATATACGACCTTCGTAGAGAAGCACAGACTATTGGAGCCCTGGATCCTTTCCACACAACAGGAAGGACCTGTCTGAAATCCCCACCAAGGACAACTGTCTTCCCACC